GACAGCTCAAGTCCCGACACCTGGAGTATATAAATGACCTGACAGCTATATATGCCAGAATCACTAAGCCCCTCCCTAGGTATCTGCCACATGTTGAGGTAATCACTGAGGCCTTGAAGTCATTTGATTCATTTACACAGGTATACTCAATCATCACCTGAAGCATCAACCAGGTTAATTGAAGCATCTTGGAGAAATTGATTATGATTTGATTAGCCAAGTCTTGAACCAGTTGATTAATTTCCATTTACCTGACTCACTCGACAGGTAATTAAAGACACCTGGGCGTGATCACTGAGGCAACCAACACACTAATTAGTTTATATACCTGATAGATATACTTGACTAAATGGCTGACTTAGTTGGTAATTATCGAGATGAAGCCATGATGCTGCGACGCTTCCTACCCATAAGTCGTATTTTCTGTACCTGTTCTCTTAACTGTATTAGAGAACGCATTTAGTAACGTTCACTTTTACCGTTTTTACCGTTAGTTAAATGCGTTCTCACATCACCAGTTACGAGAAAAAGGAGAAAAAACACGTAAGAACCCGCGTTTTTTGCCGTAGGTTAAGTGAGTCTTTTTAAAAGCGTTCTCACATCACCACCAAGGGAAAAGTTCTACCCCCAAGAGCCTCTAAGACTCAGGGCTCCGCTACCGTACACCATCAGTCACCTTCACGCCATCAAAGGTATAGCTGAGTCCTGGCCTGGCCCCATGCTGACGACATATTGGTAACAGGTGGTGGTGGTGGTGGTGGTAACAAGTGGTGGTGTCCCCTTTAGGAGTTAAGTGTTGGTGTGCTACTGCCACCACTTCCTTTACCTACCACCTACCACACACACACACACACACACACACACACACACACTCCCTTCATTCGTGGTCATTCATTCATGCTGTTCTTGTTTGACAGACTGGCTGACTGATTGAGTGAATGAATGAACAAGTGAGGGAGAGAGAGAGAGAGAGAGAGAGTACAGAATCTCAATAAAGCAGAAACACAAACAAATATGGCAAATTAACACACACACACACACATTTTACTCGAAATAAAAGTTTTGTATTGAGATGAACCTTTGGGGTTATTGACGGGACAGGTGTTGACAGGGGTTCATGACAGGACAGGTGTTGATGGAGGTTTATGGGATGACAGGTGTTGACACGGGTTAATGACTGTATAATTGAAGGTAACATTAAGAAGGAAAGTAATTTTATTTTTACATAATTTTTTTGCAGGCGGAAAAAAGTTGGAATTTTTTCTCTCACACACACACACACACACACACACAAGTATTTCTGTGGTTTTTTTCCAACATTCTTAAGGCCACGAGGGTCCCCATTGGCGGTGTCTGAGAGAGGGGAGAGGAAGAGGGGAGAGGAAGAGGGGAGAGAAGATACAGATGGGAGAATAAAAGGTCGGAAAAGAGGTGAAATATAGAAGAGAGAAGAGAATGAAGACGTAGAGAAAGGGAAAGAGGAGGATAGAAGGGAGAGAGAGAAATGAAGAGGTTACATGAAGGGTATCAGGAAGAAAGGAACAGAGGGAGTGAAAAGGGAGAGGAAATGGGCGACAAGGGAGGGTGAGAATTACAGACAAGAGGAAAAGGAGGGGCAGAGAGGAGAGGAGAAGGGAGAGTAATAATGACAGAGAGACCAAGGTGTGAGGAAGAGGGTGAGAGAAGATTTTAAGGGAGAGAAGAGATGAGAAAGGGAGAACAGGGTGGAGTGAGGGCGGGCGGTGTGTGTGTGTGTGTGTGTGTGTGTGTGTCCTCAGTGTCGTGTAATGAAGATAGCTTAATTTTTTTTTTTTGAGAATCTAATAAAAACTCGTAAATGATAAATTTGTGAGATAAAACACGTCTAAAATCGCAAAAAAAACATGAAAAACGACGATGAAAAAACATTTAAACTTTGTAAGAAAAAACACACACACGCCCGCGTTTCAACACATTAGAAAACATACATAAAAACGTCAGAAAAACACATAAACAAGAAGGAAAAAAACAGAGCTCTAAAAATACATAAAATCCCCATGTTTTGTTTGTTTGTTTTTTGGTGAAGTATTAATTATTATTAAGTAAAGTTGGTGTAAGAAGGAGGGAATGAGTCGTGTCTATTTCTGTTGGTCCATTAAGGTAAGAGAGAATGTAAACACTGGGGTGGGTGTAGGGGAGACTTCGCTAGAGTAAACGCTTTCACACACACACACACACACACTCCTCCCTTCCTTCACACCTGACGCACCTCACACAAGCCGCATCTCTCTGTTCTTGTCTTCACCAGCCGCAGGGAGACTTCTTGCCTGTACTTGCCGCACCTTACAGATTTGGTCTTCCTGTTTATTCTATTTTGTGAAGTCAATAAAGTGGTGAATATTTTGATAAAGGAATGAATGGTTCATCATCATCATCATCATCATCATCATCATCATCATCATCATCATCATCATCATCATTATTATTATTATTATTATTATTATTATTATTATTATTATTATTATTATTATTATTATAGAAGTAGAGAGAGAAAGGTACCGTAGACTCGTAGAGGACTCGTTAGGTTGATCTCTTCACCTGTCTGGCCTCACTACACTCAGGTGAGGCCAGACACACCTACCTGTGTGTCGTAAGGCTGTGGTTCTATCCCCCCCCCCTTCCCAAGATCCTGTGGGCCTTGTGGAACGTGGAAGATCTTAATCACACACACACACACACACACACACACACATACACACACACACACACATACACACACACACACACACTATATATATAAAATATGTTCTCAGATTGTGTGTGTGTGTGTGTGTGTGTGTGTGTGTGTGTGTGTGTGTGTGTGTTATTGTTTCATTGATTATTTTACCCCTTGTGTAGTGTCGGCGGGGGAGTAGAGAGTACTAGTAGCACACCTATAGTACATTAAAATAACTACCTTGTTCATAATACCAGGTTTTTAACATAACAAATTCAGTAAATAGTTTGTTCATTATATTATCCAATCTAGAGCAATTAACACACGTGACCCGACACACCGACTCGTTACAGTCACCACCAGCTGTGATTTGTTTACATTCAATCAGCTGTTTATCACGTGAGACTCAGCTTCGTGTGGGTCCTTTAAATAATATGAAGGAAATGAGGCGTTTAGGATTAATTTGACCAAATGAAGATTAGTCTCTCTAGCTAATTTAACCGGAAGATTAACTACCCTAATGCTAATGTAACCTAACAGTAATCTAACCTAATACAAAATTAACCTAACTTAATTTAGCCCGAATACTATCCTATCCTATCCTATCCTATCCTAATTTCCCAGGTAGGATTAGGGTGTTTAATCATCAGGTGAAATAATCTGGTGGGTCTAATCTTCAGGATATCCGATTAATCCGCCCAGAGTCCTCGAAATGACATCAGGCAGACAGGTAATAGATCTATGCTCGTTAGCTTTAATTAAGGTATTGTTATTTACATAGTTTTAAAAATAACATTGGTGGTTTGTAGTGTAAGTTTAGTGATTGGTGAATGATTTAGGTAACATAATTGTGATTTAAGGCGGGATGCTACGGTGGTTCTGTGATTTTTTAAGGGCTTTGGATAATTGACGACTGTGATTTAAGGCGAACCACTGCGGAGGTGAAGTGTTTATTAAACGGATTTTAGGTAATACTTGATAAAGATAATTATTTTTAAAGGGTTTTTATTGACGATTGAAATTTTATTTGTCAACAGAACAAACACTATTTTTTTTAGTATCAGGTAACAGTTAAACCGATACCCTGTGACTCCTCCTCCTCCTCCTCCTCCTCCTCCTCCTCCTCCTCCTCCTCCTCTTCCTCTTCCTCTTCCTCTTCCACTCATCACGACCCATGGATCTGATACATCAACCCTCCTCCTCCCCCTCCTCCCCATCATGACCCATGTTTCTGATACGTCAGTCGGAGAGAACTTATGGCAGGATGGGGAAATATTGGGGATTGATGAGGGGAGGAGGGAGCAGGTGAGGGACAGGTGATTTGTGTGTGTATGTGTGTGTGTGTGTGTGTGTGTGTGTGTGTGTGTGTGTGTGTGTGTGTGTCCGAGTTGGCGGGGTACCACCCAGCGTGGAGGTGCGTCGCTTGTGTCACGTGTGGTGCCGACCCTCGGCTGGCTGTCTGGCACTCTGGTGACGCTCCTCTACACACACACACACACACACACACTCCATTTACTTATATAGAAGTTACAATTCACCTCCTGAATGTCTCCTCTCTCCAGCAGTGGTCCCCAACCCTGTGTAGGCTCTGGGCCACATTTATCATTGTAAATATAGTGGACGGAGCCAAAACTTTGGATCTACATTCATGAAACAAAAATTCCATATATACTGTACAGTTATTTGCAGTTTTACACGTCTAACTGTTACCAGTTACATACTTTTTACATTTACTTTTGGACAGAACGTGAGTGTTTACCCCAGACCAGACCCAGAGAGAGAGAACCAGCTTTCTCACTTGGGTAAATACACACGTCCTGTACACGACAGACTCGGGATAATAGAGCAGTCTCTCTCTCTCAAACTATAAAGTTGTATCAAACCTTTACAAAATTTCATTAATTTCACTCTTACAAAGAATCCCGAGTAATTCACAATTTTATAATAAACCCTCGAGGGCTCCATAATATAGTTCCGCGGGCGCCGAACTACAGGTTGAGGACCACTGCTCTAAATGGTGTCTTGCTGTTACAAGTATTTCAAATAACAAAATGACTGTAATTACACTGGATAATTGCGTCTTGTTGTAGTTGTCAGACCTTGTTCGTATCTCATTGTGTGTGTGCGTGTGTGTGTGTGTGTGTGTGTGTGTGTGTGTGTGCGCGCGTGTGTGTGTGTGTGTGTTTATTCATGGACATCTTTTTCTTTGTTTCCTATTATATTAATATTATCCTTCCCGTTTTCTTCATGTATATCTTTATCATCCCATTTTCTTCAGTGCCTCAGATCGTCTCTTTTCTTACAGCGGGGAGCGCGAGTCCGAGCCTGGGCCGGAAGGAGTACCGCAAGGTGAACTACGACGGCCAGACCACACCCCAAAGACGCCCCTCACAGGTAGGAACTCCTTCGGGTAGGAACTCCCTCATGTAGGTCCTCCCTCATGTAGGTGTTCCTTCAGGTAGGTTCTCCTTCAGGTAGGTCCTCCCTCAGGTAGGTCCTCTCTCATGTAGGTGTTCCTTCAGGTAGGTCCTCCTTCAGATTAGGTATTCCTTCAGGTATGTCTTCCGTCAGGTAGGTCCCCCGTCAAGTAGGTACTCCTTCATCTAGATCCTCCTTCAGGTGCTTCACCCATAAAGTAGGTCCTCCTTCAGGTAAATCACTTTCACCAAGCTCTCTCCTGAAGGTGGACGACATAATGCTTCACTAATCTTAGGTGATCTTGGGAAAATCCTGTATAAGGAGTCTTGAATCCCATTAGATTAGCGTTAAGTGACTGGGGGCTTTTGTCTAATGGACCCATTAAGACGTGGAACAAGGTGAGAGACGGAGCTCCAACTTGTCTTAAGGGGGAGGATGAGTTAATGGGTTAAGACTATCCCTTTAAACCTTCCCACTCCTTCAATAATGGTCCTTTAACACCATGAGAACAACGGTATACAGCTCATGTAAGGCATTTTATTGTTTTGTAATCCCATAAATGGATCAGCAGAGCCATTATTGAGTGGCTCCTGTTCGCCCTTAAAGTTTCAGAATGTGTGTGTGTGTGTGTGTGTGTGTGTGTGTTTGTCACCAGGAGAAATGAAAGTTAACTATAGAGAAAGAGATGATAAAGGGCTCTCTCTCTCTCTCTCTCTCTCTCCCCCCCATGTTTACATCTCCAGTGATTAGTTTTCCTAAGGGAGGGAGTGTGCGAGGGAGGCAGTGAGGGAGGGAGAGGTGAAGAGAACTAGAAGGAAGTGAAGGTAGAAATTTACTTATAATATACTTTACTCAAACCACTTACACAGAGCTACAGCACAAATCTATTTTATAATCGTTTACAAAGTTACCTTAATATATTTCGACGGTGTTAACTTGTTCGCTCATAAGTTTAGACGTAAGGGTTTGTGCTCCACCAGTTAACAAGGCTTGGGTGTGCTTTCATTAGAGACGGTGCGGGAGGTGTGGGGTGCGGGAGGTGCGGGGTGTGGGTGCGGGAGGTGTGGGGGTGGGTGTGTGAGGTGTGTGGGGTGGGTGCGAGGTGTGTGGGTGTGAGGTGTGTGTGGGTGCGGGAGGTGTGAGGTGTGGGGTGCGGGAGGTGCGGGGTGTGGGTGCGGGAGGTGCGGGGTGTGTGTATGGCCCACCTACTCGGTAAAACATCGAACCCCTGACCCACGTGTGAGACTTACTTGTGAAGCTTAGTAGTTATGGTTGATTAATGAGTCGTACTTTGATTTAATCTAACCTTACCTAACCTAACCTTAACCTAACTTTATATCCCCATTAAACACTCTAATATTACTTCGCCTAGGGAGGAGTAAGGTTAGGTTTGGGTTAGGTTAGGTTTGGGTTAGGTTAGGTTTGGGTTAGGTTAGGTTAGGTTAGGTTAGGTTAGGTTAGGTTAGGTCAGGTTTGGGTAAGTTAAATATAATCCTGTTAGAGCAAATAGAGAGGAATATTAATGGCACTGAGGTAAGGTAGAGGGATCTATTAAGAGCTTAACAACCATTACCTCTCCTCTAACCTGTCTCAGTGAACAGGTAAACTCTTTCATTCCCAAGTCACTGTTGCTCTGATGACCACAGTGTTGCCATACCTGTAAACGTCTGGCCATACCACCACACACACACAACACTCAACCTTCTCTCTCAATCTCCATGTATTTCCCCTAACGAAAAACATAAACCTACCACAGAGAAGAATATCCTGAGGTACCTGTCGTTAATTTAGTACCACGATCTACCTGACAGATTATCGGGGAACCAACGAAATTTACATGTGGGAACCATTTTAAGTGTAGGGAGTGAGGATGTTGGAGTGTCTCAGGGGTGTGAGATCTTTACCGCCTCTCCACGATGGTATGATGTCTACCTCGTAAATTCCTCCCCCCCACCCCTCCCCAGAGCGCCGTGAAGACAGTGTTCCCCCCGTCTCTCCCGTTCGTCTGTATCGCTTTATTTATAGTCTTGTATGTGTGTGTGTGTGTGTGTGTGTGTGTGTGTGTGTGTGTGTGTGTGTGGCTCCGACGACTACAGCGACGCGCCTTGCTCAGCCCAGCCACCTCTTATTCTCTGAACGGCTAGTACTGTCTCACTGTCTCGTCTGCCACTGTCTCTTCCTTTACTGCCACGAGGAACACACAAGTTGAAGCTCTTTGTAGGTAGTGCCTCTCCTCCACTCCCCTACCACACTACCTGGGCCTTGAAATACTCCTCTCTTTTTTTTAGGGGGCGAGAAATGTTTTACATACGTGAGCGCCTCAGACAGCCAGCACCGCTTACATGTATGGTTCTGTGCACTGAGGTGTTACTGTTGAGCGCTGTGGATGTAGTTTTAAGCTCCAGACGATGTTAATTGGTCTCTATGTTTAAGGAATTGATTCTATCTGCCTTGGTTGTATCTCTTTCTTGTAGTCAATACCTGAGAAAGTTAAACATTTCACACCTAAAGCAATAATGTTCGTATTTCTTACATGCGTCAAATATTTTCTCAAAGGTGTTAAAGTCAGGCCACCAAGATCACGATGACAGTAAATAATTTGGTCGTTAATCTTGTGGGGGAACACGAGATCTTTATGAAGGTAGGAGAGTCTTAAGGGCAGCCATCATCAGTGGAAATTTCATGTTTCTTGCGGGGTTTTTTTTGTGTGTGAATTAGGGGGAGGGGGTTGGGGAATCCTTCGGCAATAATTAAGGGTTAAGGCCCAGCGGTACGGGTGACCCCCCAGGTGGGACAGATGGCTTCCTGCGAGTACCACTTGTGTGTGTTTAGTGTTGATTAGAGGGTTTGAGAAATATAATGAGATAATCCTCTTGATTTTAAGACATCGTAGTTTGTAAATTATCAAAGAAGCTGACAGTCAAATACAATACCTTGTTTATACCTTAACATTGCATTGTAGATTTTGAAATATACGATGAGAAAATCACTGAAGGCAACAATTTATCACCACAATATTTTCATGTTTGTGTACAAGGTGAGTCAGGCTGCAGGTCTTTCCGGTGCGGTATATCGAGGCAGTGATTCAGCGAGCGCTAATTCCTCGCCCAGGGGAAGAGGTGTAAACTGGGTGTATGTTAGTGTTTCTTTTTATTATCGTGTTTGTTTAGCTGCGTGTACCTTTCTCCCTGGCTCAAGAGACGACTTGGTGGTTTTACTGATCCCTCGAGGTTGGCACCGGGAATAAAATTTAGCATTGCCAGAGCAGTTACCCTGCTCTCAATGTCTCCTAGACTATTTATCTATACAAATATTATGACGTCGCTCATGTTAAAGGTTTCCCATTTAATTTATGTCTTAGGTGCTTAGTCTTTACGGCTTAGTGTGCGCCAGAAGCAGGAGAATTGTGTCTCGTGAGCCAGACAGTGTTCGTCTTTTGTTTATGACCAACTGAGCCACCTGAAAGCAATCAGAAGATGTTTACAGTTCTTAGCTGACTTGTCGTGTCTCGTTGCATTAAACTAGGCGTATCGGCGCTACATATTTCTTGTACAACACTTAACTTACTTTACTACTTTGTGGATTATAAACGACAGAAATAATATATAATTGGAGCCCTTTGTAAAGACAGACGGCAGATATGATATATACACATAAATACTTAGCGGACGATTAATAGCAAACTTAGACCCCTTCAATTATTCTGGTAGTGGGATTTTGTTCAGTAGGAATTTGAAATTTCGTCCGATCCGATTTTGTCGTACTCACAGACGAGTGTGAGGCATGCGGGGTGAATCTTTAAAGAATACAATAGTTTCCCCTTGATCTTGTCTTTTCCTCGTTTTCTGTTGTTAAATTTAGGCTATTTAAAACGTTCGCTAATACGATTATTTACCTTTTGTCATTTGAAGAGATACATTTTCCCAATAGAATTTAGGATATATTGTTGATAAGTAATACCAGTAGTGGGTATAGGAAGAAGGGTCACTCAAACACTCTATCAGGTCACTCATATACTCGGTCAGAGGTCACTCACATACTCGGTCAGGTCACTCATATACTCGGTCAGAGGTCACTCAAATACTCGGTCAGGTCATTAAAATACTCCGTCAGGTCACTCAAACACTTGGTCAAGGTCACTTAGATAGTCAGGTCACTCAAACACTCGGTCAGGTCACTCAGATACTCGGTCAGGTCACTCAAATACTCGGTCAGGTCACTCAAACACTCGGTCAGGTCACTCAAATACTCGGTCAGGTCACTCAAACACTCGGTCAAGGACAGGACTTCCAGGGTGCCTGACTCAGCGTCCTACGAGAGGATCACAGCCGACCAAGTGGAGCCAATAATTGGGTGTATGTGTGAGTGTGAGGTCAACACGCCATTAAGCCTTCAACACTGTCAACACACAACCCTGGGAGTCAACACTGTCAACACACAACCCTGGGAGTCAACACTGTCAACACACAGCCCTGGGAGTCAACATTGTCAACACACAACCCTGGGAGTCAACACTGTCAACACACAACCCTAGTCAACACTGTCAACACACAGCCCTGGGAGTCAACATTGTCAACACACAACCCTGGGAGTCAACACTGTCAACACACAACCCTGGGAGTCACACTGTCAACACACAGCCCTGGAGTCAACACACAGCCCTGAGTCAACACTGTCACACAACCCTGGGAGTCAACACAACACACAGCCCTGGGAGTCAACACACAGCCTGAGAGTCAACACTGTCAACACACAGCCCTGGGAGTCACACAGTCAACACACAGCCCTGGGAGTCAACACACAGCCCTGGGAGTCAACACACAGCCCTGGAGTCAACACACAGCCCTGAGTCAACACACAGCCCTGGGAGTCAACACACATCCCTGAAAGTCAACACACAGCCCTGAGAGTCAACACACAGCCCTGGGAGTCAACACACATCCCTGGGAGTCAACACACATCCCTGAAAGTCAACACACAGCCCTGGGAGTCAACACACAGCCCTGGGAGTCAACACACAGCCCTGGGAGTCAACACACAGCCCTGAGAGTCAACACACATCCCTGGGAGCCAAAGGAATAATAACCAGGCCAGTTATTTTAGCCGGTAATGTCACCCTAGCAAGGAAGGTGGTGGACAAGCGCTCCTGGAGGTACAGCACAAGACGTAACGCCGCCCCTCACTGCCCAGCCTTACCAGTGAAGGAGAACAAGAATCGTTCACGGAAAATTGTGATTATTTTCCCTGAACTCTGGGGAGATATTGTCTTTTACTACCGCCCCCCTTACCTCCTTTTACTTTAATTATTTGTTTGTTTATTTTTTATTCACATACACACGTACTGTACTGATCCTAATTTGAAGACTCGGGTGATGGTGTACTTTTATCGTTGTCAACATTACCTAAGAGGGTGTAGGTTTGTCTAGAGAGTAACATGATTTAATATTGGTAAAATAATTAAGAAAATCGATAATAGACAAATTTTGTGGTGTCACTTAGTGTTTCCTGGAGGTGTTGAGTGATAGATATATCTTTAGTAGTCTTTGTATCCCAGTCTGACAATGTAGAGAAATAATACTGTATTTTATGTGTTGGAACCTGAGCAGTGTAAAATAATCCCTTCATGACAGTTGACACATGTTTGGGAGAAATCATTTAGTATTGTTTTCATGTTCGTGGTAATTTTTTATCATGGTAAAGTGATCATAATGTTGCAGGAGAACGTGTTAATCCCACGGCCAGAGGAGAGCTTCGCTTGGAAGGACATCAAGGTGGATAAGGTGGCCCGTTCTCCTACCTCCACCCTGCCCAAGGTTCAGAACCCTACCGTCACACTCCTGCAGAAGAAGCGAGGTCAGTGCCCCCTCCAGCCTAGCGTCATGGAGGACCAGACTATCATGCTAGGAACGATTTTATGTTTATTATTTAGTGTTTCGATTTACTTATTAGGAGTTAGCTTAGTTAGGTTGTCTTGGTTTGTTTTGGTTTGGAGCACAACAAAAGGCTTATATGCAAAAGACAATGTGACGTTCCCTTTGAATGTAACTCACTGCTGGGACTGTGCTGGGTGTTGCCGGGACATATACCTGTACTGTACATGATTGCTGGCAGAACACTTGACGGCCCTGAGAGAACCTTCCTTGGCAGTCAGAAGAGGAAACTTTCTGTGTACATTTTTAACACTACATTAATACCCATTTAAGAAGTGATTTTTACATACCTCTTGAAAATTAGTTTTTTTCTTGAGGGAGAGAGTTATTTTGAATTCTTAAACGCAATATACGGTAATATATAACTGAAAGCTAATATAGACACACTTTTCATCTTGATAAACACAAAAAAGAATCTTTCTCACCACCCAGGAGGAAATATTTGCCAGAAATGCATGTTGCAGCTTATTATAAAATTGATAATACAGTAAATTATATCTTGTCACGACAGATCTCCGTCTTTTTTCAGTATTTTTTTAACTCGAGTTACTGTCCACATTTCCTCTATAATTATCACCATAAACGTATATCTGCATGGAATAGGAAGCAACATTGAGAAGGCAGGTTATTGTGACTGCTTGAACCAGACCAAAAATAGTATGGTGAGCTTCGTCAATTTACAGCAACTAGTCAACACACGGATCACCTCACGCTTGTTGACTCAGTACAGTGTTGATGATATTATTCCTAGATTAATTATGCTTTTTGATGGCCGTTGGGGTGCCAGTACACTATTTTATATACCAGTATTGTAGTTATATCAAGCACTAGCTTTTGTTTTATTACACTGACTAGTTGTTTTGTTTTTTACTTTGATATTGTTTGTATTACCCAGTTAGTGATGTTTATACAGTAGCCTAGAGAATTATTTTAGAGAATTATTTGTTATTTTTCTTTCCATGATAATGAGTTTGATTAGGGTATTATTTATATTACACAAGTTATTGTAATTTATATCGTTATTGGTAATATACAGTATATACGTTATAGGAGTATCGTGCGGTATCGTAGTAAGTTAAGTACAATACAGTACTGTACACAAATAATAAACACTATTTTACTTGGTACACATTTTACTAAAAAACTACATATTGCCCATTTTTATTTATTTTACTGAATACATATATTGATAAACATTAATTTACTCAGTACATGTACACATTTTACTAAACATAATTTTAACGTACATGTGTCGTTACAAACAAACTTTTCCATCATTTACCACCTAATGCTAAAACACTTGGCCACAATACACATCCCAAGTAATGTATTTCTTGTCTGTCTAAGGTAAGAGTTAGCTAGTAGTGAGGCTGTAGGTCCCTTATCAACCTTTTGTCTTCGTGTGCCAGTGTGAGACTTAAACCTCTTGACTGTATTATTAGCATGATGAAATTAGGGCGTAGTAAAATTTGTCAGTGAAGAAAATTACCGAGTAAGTAAAAAGTAATAATATTAAATTGGAAGCTATAGATATTTTTAGCTTATTTATAATCTTTAACTTTCTCTTCTTGAAATTATTCTGTAATTGGTAACGAATGAAAAATATTCACAGTAATGATATGAATGATTAGCTTGACCACCTGAATGTGCATTTGCATCATGATATGTAAATTTAATGAGTATATAATCTGCCCAATTTGATTATGTTAATAGAGAGAAGATTTTGAGCCAGAGGAAAGGATCAAGTATTTTAAAGAGTCTTTTTATTATCTACCATCACTTTCATGATTCCAGTTTGTGTGAAAATAATTAGATAAGATGAATCTGAATTGTTATATAATTAAGTCACTTATGATAGATATTGGCTCAAAATCCTCCATCACCCTTTTAACTTTTATTAAGGAGCAACACTCAGGTAACCTGCACCAATTCCTCTGATAAAAGTAGGCCTAAATCAATCATAATTTTCTCCTCAGATGATCCGCATTCGACCTCAGGTAAAGCCATGAACCTATTCCACAGTCAAGTCAGAGCACAATGCTCGCACAGACACTGCACTCAGGGTATTATATGGGCTCTGAACACCTGTACTCAATCTGCCATCAGGGCCTTGAAACATGTCAGGGTCCTGTCCCAAAAACCAGGGGTCAAAACATCTTATCTAACTCTCTTTAAAAACACTATCACAATTATTTTTTCCCTGGAGGTGTTAGACTCATATTATCACAGTAATATTTAATGACATGCATGTAATTATAGGTTTTATTTCTGGCATAAGAGTCAAGTTTCAGAAGCCACAATCAGAGTTCCCCAGTATCTAAAGCCGCTATTAATGCCACCAGGAGATGTAACTTATTCTACTCAGTGTAATTTTATCATCTTAAATCTTGTCATGTTTCCCTAATGTTAAATATGGAGTTGTTGCTGATTCTATTAATTGTATTTTTTATCAATCTTGTCTTATTTTTCTGATGGTGTAAATATCGTTTTAGATATTGACTTTGTACATATGGATTGCTACCTTAGATATGTTTAGTATATACAGTATACCCAACTGTTGTGGATGTGTATGTGTTCATCCTTGCTAAGACCACTTTAACTCTCTCTCCAGTACAATATCTGCCATGATCATTCTTCTCTCTGACTTTGATTGACATTGTGAAGCTATTAACAGAGTGTCATGAACTCTTGCTTATAATTCATATGTATGTGCCACCATCATACTAACATGGGGCAGTGGAGGACGATGGAAGGGATGGGATGGAATGGGGAGATTTATTGCATGCACAAGTCACCTCTTCCTTATTTCATTAATGATGTCATCACCAGTAACACAGCGCCTCAGAAGTTTCCACGTCCTTAAGCTTTGTGACAAATAGAATAAGTTTATATTACTCCTTCTTGCACTCTTTCACGTCAAGTGTTTTTCAATGACAGTAGAAGATGTCAGCATATTTATACAGTATACAATTTGTTTTCCACTTAATGTGTGTTTCATTGTGAGTGTCTCTCATATGAACAGTGTAAACCTTTGGTCACATAACAACAGTGCCGTCACGTAACAGTGACTAGCCCTCTGAGCCTTGGGGTAGCAATCCGTACATACAAACCCTGTAATGCACTGTATTATATCTAATATTTGTATATATAATTTATCAATGTGGTGGTACTTGGATTGCACGAATTGGGTGTAGTATTTGTTTTATGGTCTCACTGTGTATTGTAATTTCAGTTTTGGTACATGATATTACTAAGGAATACTGTAGATAAATATGTGATGCAGTATGTATATTATGCAGTACGTCTATATACAGTATTCAGTATATATGCTGGTGGAATTTTTGATTATTCAAAGTTTTTAGGCAGCCGTTTTTATTATTTTTCACTTTATAAATCTTTTTTTGAAACTTAAGATTTTGATGGCTGTGAAAATTAGTCTTTTGAGTAGAATATTGAGATATTTAGATGTATGGTCTCATCATATCATCAATATATCGTAGTTGTCATAAGAATTAATAAAGGGATTATAAAACTTGCTTTATGACTGGACAAAATAATATAATATCATTGGAGGTCTAACACTCTCCCTCTGCAGGCAAATAAACAGGAATTTAACCAGCTTGCTGACTCAAGTTTTCATATCAAGTGATGACTCTAACCTCTCTTACCCACCAAAGCTTTAGCACAAGAAGGATATTTCTTAACCCTGGCAGGCCACTAACACCTCTTGTTGCCTTGCATACATAGCTTCACTTGCCCACTCTTTATATATATATATATATATATATATATATATATATATATATATATATATATATATATATATATATATATATATATATATATATATATATTGATAAAATCACACGGGGAAAAGGGAAACAACGGAGCACCTTAGCTTTCGTCGTTATTGAAGACATCTTCAGAGGCATTCAGTTGCCTCTGAAGATGTCTTCAATAAAGACGAAAGCTAAGGTGCTCCGTTGTTTCCCTTTTCCCCGTGTGATTTTATCAAGATTTATCTTATCCACGTTTTCATTGTGGAGCTACATGATATATATATATATATATATATATATATATATATATATATATATATATATATATATATATATATATATATATATATATATATATATATATATATATATATATATATATATATATATATATATATATACTGTACATATACTCTTTTCTTTTCTCAGTTTTACTGAGTTTATGCAATTGCAAATTGGAAACTTTTAATATATCTATTCAGTAATTGTATTCTGAATTTGTAGAAATAAAGCAACTTTGAGTAAAATCTTATAAGCAAAATCTTTTTCAAAGTTTCATTCAAAAGCAAAAGTTGATATTTAGTTTGTTGTAAAGTTTTATATAACAGAAGAATATCCAGTCATAACTCAAAACTAGTGCACATTATGTGCATCAATAAACCAGCTGCCAGATGTGACTGTATATTACTGTTTACAGAGGGTCAGATCCCCGGAAAACGACCAGAGTACTTGAAACCTGATGACATTGGTCCCAAGTACAAACCTGACGACAAATGTAAGTGTTGTAGGGTCACCCGGTGCAGTAGTAGGGCTTTATCTTATACAATTCTGTATTGCAATTTTCATTAATACTTTATATATATTCCTCACCACCACCGTCCAGTTTTATGGGTGACAGGTGTGTTTTCATCTCATTAATAATCTTTTAGATGATTGCGTCTTAAAACCTCCTACAACTATTGTGGAATAATGTAATGTTAGTTAAACTACAGTATGGAATTGTTATATTCATCATCATCATTCATATTTTATAGCCATTTTCTACACTTGTGTGAGTTAGCCGCGATTACCTGGTGGTATGTGTTGGGTAAGACCAGAACTGGGTGTCCTTGTCCTCCCACTGTTGACCCAAGGCACCAGCTGTGTCCTGTCAATGATAAATCTTGAGCGCGACTGACTGACACAAATTGAAAAACCAACTTGACTTCTATTTGGTCGTGTATTCTTGAATTATTTGCATTAAATTGTTTGAACTCATATTTTGTATTCTATAAGATGAAAGTTGAGGAATTCACTCAATAACTGGCCTGAGAATGATTCATTAATGTACTGTTAAGGAAATCTTGATACACTTCCCTGCCACCACCATTGTACAGTATGTCCCTCCCATAACTCTTACCATTCACCTCCACCTGCCCATTGTATTGCTCCTCTGTCTGTCTAGAGTATTACCAAAAGCCACTATCTCATTAGTTATTTTCACTCCCTACATCCACTTCATCAACCCTGTTCATCACCTTCACGTCCACCATTCTCACTCCCTACCATCTGTTTTACCATGGACTGTCATCTTTGCTATCACATTTCACTCCACTACCACTCTGCCATCACCACTCCACTATCACTAGCTCTCCACTACCACCACCTCTCCACTACCACCACCTCTCCACTACTACCACCTCTCCACTACCACCACCTCTCCACTACCTCTCCACTACCACTACCTCTCCACTACCACCACCTCTCCACTACCACCACATTTCCACTACCACCACCTCTCCACTACCACCACCTCTCCACTACCACCACCTCTCCACTACCACCACCTCTCCACTACCACCACCTCTCCACTACCACCACATTTCCACCACCACTGATCCACCACTCTAACCACACACACTGCCACTCACCACCATTGTCCAACACCTACAGTATACATCATCAAGAGAGAGTACGAGTCAGAAGACGAGGAAGGAGGGCGTCGCTTCGCTGTGTTAGGGCCCAAGAAGGTTCAAGGGGTGGGCCCCACAACCCAGGACGGGGTCCCTACCACCCTTAAGTCGGTATGTACTGTTCCTTCTCTGCCAGACTCCCCACTTGATGCTCGCTCTGCACACAATTGCTTCTGTATCTCATGGACTTTTTTTGCCTAATCTTACTCAAGTTTTAGTAAGCTGTGTCATGAGAAGAAAATTTAGACTAGAAATATTTACTTAGAAAATGTGTTACCTTTATATTGTGTGTATTTAGTGCTTAGAGATTTGCCTTTCATTAGCTTGAGTGATTATTGTGGAGTGTTATATTGTCTCTTGTCAACAACAGCTTGGTAGCCATTTATATAAAGCCAAGTGAAATTGGCCGGTGTTTGCCCAGCTATTAGTAAATGCTTACAGAGCCTTAAAGAACTTACAAATGATAGATTAGTCTTTGGGTTACTAAATATGCTATCCTAGTGCAATGTGTGTGTGTGTGTGTGTGTGTGTGTGTGTGTGTGTGTGTGTGTGTGTGTGTGTGTGTGTGTGTGTGTGTGTGTGTGTGTGTGTGTGCTTACCTATTTGTTTGTGTATGTATGATGTAATTGTGCTGTATGTGTGTGTGTGTGTGTGTGTGTGTGTGTGTGTGTGTGTGTGTGTGTGTGTGTGTGTGTGTGTGTGTGTGTGTGTGTGTGTGTGTGTGTGTGTGTGTGTGTGTGTGTGCTTACCTATTTGTTTGTGCTTATAATGTGTGTGTGTGTGTGTGTGTGTTATAGCTTATGTCCATGTTTCAATAGCTGCCACTACACATTATTCCTGTCTTGTGTTTCATGCTGCGGATTAGGATAAATTGAGGATTTTCAAAATGATGAAACTAAAAGGATTTAAAGTAAGTATTTGATGTTTTGAATGAGGGTAAATCGCCTGTTGCTGATTTAGTTCTTTGTGAGGTTAATGTTACTGTGACTAACTTAATATTACACTGACTGTTAGACAATCCTGACTCTTGACTGATGGAAAAGTGTTCAATGTAACTGGCAGAAAATAATCTTGATGCACTGACAGACAGACAGAAAAATTGCATTAGAATTGTCTTAAAAGCTGACAGAAAATGGACTCCTAACTGTCAGAAAACTACATTATGACAGACAGGAAAGAATGGTAAAATAATATCTGTCTTAACTCCAGAAAGTGACTCCCTTCCTCTGTCAACATTAGCAGAGGGGCAAGAGGAGTCAAGGAGTGTGTGATGCCCCGTTACCTTGTGTACAGGGACCAACACAATAAGAAATAAAACCCATTGACCATTCTAGAGTTTATGTGGATCCTAATGTTGAACTATGACAAGACTCAACAACACTCTCACTATGAACACATTTTTTTTCCCTTCAGTTATTTATGATTTATCCATTTTTAACTCTGGACAAAGGTGCTCCTCTTCCTGCAGTGGGCCTATGTGTCTGGTCACTGGTGTTAATGTTAGTTGCAGGGAGATAAATAATATAGTGTTTTGGTTGTCTTTTGCAGGTGAGGTGTTGTTTTACTCCTGTGTTAATAGATTATTCATATGGCATTACCCTGACCCTCTCTCTCTGTACCAGCTATAGTATTCATACATAACTTACCTCACAAACACTAAGGGATTTTCAAGTGCACATCTTGGCATTCGGGGGTGCTGGTGGTAGAGTGGTACCGCTCTTGCCTTCGCAAGCGAGATGTCACTGGTTCGATTCCCGGGCCTGATGGAAGTTGTTTGGACATACTTCCTAGCCCCCATTAGTCCCTGTTCACCTAGCAGTAAAGTAGGTACCTGGTGTAAGTCGAAAGTTGCGAATTCGTATTCAGGGAAAGTTGTTGGAGCTTCCAATAACTTGATGACACAAACCATTGACTCTTCAGGCTTCTATGCCCTTGACTCTTCAGGCTTCTACGCCCTTAACTCATGAGACATAAGGCAAGCATGAACTTAGCATGCTTCCCTGTTGGGCGCTGTAAACGCTTCTGCGCTTCACCTTACACAAGGATGTAGGGGGGTGCCCAAAAAAAAAAAAAAAAAAAAATCTTGGCATTCAGGAATGAAACGTGGGAATGTAATGAGATTCACTGTGTGCCAGCATGTCATACAGCTTACACACACACACACACACACACACACACACACACACACACTATATACCAACAACGCAAAAATAGAAGGGTCGTAAGGTCATGTTGTCTGAATATTCCTATTATGAGGTAAACTTTCACCCCGTCAATATAAAGAGACACCCAAAATGGTATATTATTTCTCAATCTAGCAAACTGGGAATTCAGGAGACTACAGGAGCGTTTGTTATGACCAGGAGAGGTACCGGGAACTGTCTGGCCACACTGGGAGAGTTGGCATGTTTGATAATACAGCAGTAAGTCTTATCCTCGTGTGTTTTGTTTTTACACCTTATCTGTTCATGAGGCAAATAACTAACCATATAGAAATATTCACTACAAGTTAAAGTCTTTTTTTTTTATTACACCTCAAGACACCAACATCAATATTGAAACATTTTCCATATCATGAATCAGTCAGTTCCATTAATCACAGCACGACTCAAGTGGCTTAGTGCAGCTTGTTCCTCTTTCATGTGTGTAAATAAAGTTTAATTTCTTTATCCTCAGGGTGTAAAATCAGAGCACCAAGGAGAGTGGTACAGAAGGATGTTTGACTCACTGCATAAAGTAAAAGATGGTGAGTACCTCTGACAGTGTACAGTATTTAAGGCACATTAATACCGTAGTGACTTCCTGATATTGCTAAGAGTTAATGATACGTCTGGGTAGGGGTGGAAGGGATGGTAGTAGTACAGTATAAACGATGAGTTGACTTAAAATACTCAAACCAGCAGATTAAATTTTCTTCACTGTAGATTTTCTTTGTGTAGCTGTTGTTTGATATAAAGTTCAAATTAAAATCCATCTGCTTTTCACTATTAACTAATATACCTCACCGCTGACAGTCAGATGTTATGTGCTGTTAGTCTCATAAATATTGCCCATTAAAACCAATAGGATCCTTTGAGGAACATAGATACTGTACCCAGAATTAATATCACAGTATTGAGTTATTTTGTATACTGTAGTCTTTGTGGAGAAATTCTATGTATCTAAATTTGCCCTACTTTTCCCTCAGAACACTGTGGAAGTAAGTTAGTAAAGTCTGTATACACTGTACAGTATATGTAATGAAATGTCTGAAATTATGAGTTTTTAAAGCATATGATTAACGTTAGATGGGAGGGTCTAATGCACCAGAATCTTTCACAAATTGTGTAAGACAAAGTGATAATTGTGAATAAGTCTTTTTTTTAAATTATGTACAGTTGCCATCAAAAGTCCTCCTACAGCCCTGTGTAGCATGGCTGTAGGAGGACTTTTGCTGGCAACTGTACATAACTTTTGGTTTGTTTTATCACGCACATATGTAGAGTATTAGTTCCCCACCTTGTCACTTATGGCATACTTTAGGCCAAGTTTTCTGGGCACCGGAATGTGTGTAAATATACTGTTATAGTGCACAGTCAAGTCAAGCATCTGATGACTTATTGTCAGTGATGAACCTTTTATGATGTTTAAGCTGTACAGAACTGCCTTGATGCCAACCCCATCTATGAGTGTGTGTGTGTGTGTCTTCCTCCTGCAGCAGCTCTACCATATTGTGATGTTCTATCTTAAACTGCTTATAAATTCATCTAAAGATTCTTAAATGCAGAAGTAAATCACAAAGAGAACAGTGAAGCTTCTAAACCACTGACTGATTCATTATCTTTCTGCACCGTAACTAACTGTTGATAATGCCCCTCTTTATCACAGAATGGACCCCCCTTATAAACCATAAACTATAAACCGTACCCTTATTAAAATATATATATATATATATATATATATATATATATATATATATATATATATATATATATATATATATATATATATATATATATATGTACTGTATATATATATTATTGTCCAGATTCTACATATCATTGCCCCCCTTTTTTTTACTCAACTTTAATCAATATACAGTACAGGTATTTTCAGAATACCTCTTAGGTGTCGACGCAAGGTGATATAGCTGTGTCATTGGATTTTGTGTTCCTGTTATTTTCCTTAAAACTCCTCTCTTGATTTCAGACGACCACATCATCATCAAATACAAAGTCCCCAGAGGTACACATGAGTACAGTACAGGAATTCAAACACCTTTAGCGCTGGCTTATGTACTATCGCTTACACTGGGGTCTCTCTCTCTGTGTCATCTTGTTGGCTTTATGAATGGGGAGCGCTATTGTCTTGCTTATTGTCTAGAGAACGCCACAACTCTACATCCATAATCTCTCTCTCTCTCCCTTCTATGGAGTTTTGTACATAACGTGTTGTTAATATTTCTGTATGTCCTTTACGAGTGTGTTCTAATTCTCATATATATATTTTTTTAATTTGACTAAATATGATAAAGTCAGATGAGAAAGAGAATTAAGATACTTCTTCTACCATTTTTCTCATGTTTATTTATTCTTCATTTTCTTTTATGGTGATTGTGGAAGACTGTTCTACCTTCTCAGGCTTATCTCCTTATTTATTTTTTCATATCTCTACAGTTTAAAATTATTAATTGATCAAAATTCATTGGTCCTCTCAATTAGTCTCAATGCCTAATTTGGTTTTGCTCTCCAATTATTTCCAGACTCTCCTTGGTCTAAATACACCCATAATAAAGGTATAAATAGTCTTGAGCTGGAGAAAGGCATATTTTTCTCTAACACTAACACTAGGGCCAGTTTCTTCTGCATGCCTTAAGACCACTTGGTTGGCTCATGCAGAATAATAACTTATGTTCGACTTACCTGTAGACTAGTCAAGTTAACCTTAGTCTAGCATTAGATCATATAGTATTTTATATCTTGAAATAGAAATTTAGTATTTATTTAGAGCATAACTCATGCATATGTGCCTCTGGCACTGAATGTCTGCCTGGTACTAGCATAGTTTACAAACAAAAGGTTTTCATTTGAGGTGACAAATGATATGTGAACTACAATAGACCTGAAAATAAACGACATACAGTGTGGATAATGATAAATCCGACAAGAGACAGCCATTGAGGTACAGTAATATCTTGTTGTGATTGGCTGAGATAAGTAAAGGGATGAAGGTGTTAAATTTTGATCTCCCTTCTTCGTCCAGTATCACACGAGAACCTCTTGTCATTATATTGTGCTGCCCAAGTCTGCTTCCTCTGTGTGCCCCAGTGTGTGTTCAGTTTGTGTGCAGCTGGCGGCCACTGTTCTCTGCATGACTCTCTCTCGTTAGGTTGATGAGACCACTGTAACCACAGGCTGTGTAAAGTCTGTAATTTCTAAAAATTATATTTTGAAAAGTTTTTAGGACATTTGGCTAAATTTCATTAATTTACTCTGTAATGTGATTAGAGGTACAGTGTCAGTATTATACAGGTGTGTAGGATATTACTTGTGTACTCAAACACTGCTTCAAAATTCAATTGATTGCCCTGTTATTCCTGACATGACCATCACCCCCTCATCCCATAATCCGACTACTGTACCACCAATACTGTACTACCAGCATTACCATGACAACCACTACCTTCCTGTCACACACTCAACACGCAGGCCCCCCTCCACCTGATTATTGACCGGAACCCCTCGGATAATCTACCTGTAATTAATTCTGTTCCCGTCATGCTTAACAACGCAACTAGTGGGATAGTGATGGAGGGTCAGTGGAAGGGAGAGGAGGAGGGGAGGTACTGATCAGTGAAGGGAGGAGGAGGAAGGGGTACTGGTCGGTGAAGGGAGGAGAAAGAGGAGGTACTGGTTAGTGAAGGGGAGGAAGGGAAAGGGATGGATAGTAGTCAATGGAGGGGAGAGGAGGGGGAGCGATGAAGGTTGAATAAGGTCACAGGATCACAAATGGCACCTGTCAGGAGAGAGATTACCCATTGATTGGTCAGTACTAAACTCTGGCGTTGGATTGTTATCATCATTAGTTTTATTGCTAACAGCTCGAACTGCCGCATAGTTCTGGTTTTACTATTTTTTTTTTACACCTTATTTATATTTAGCAGTAGAATCTAAGTCTTCATCTTGAGAGATATAATACACTAGAATTCTCCATGTAACACTGCTGGTCTCATCACCTAATGTAGGGAAGTGGTGTTGAAGGAAAGAAGGAAAGTTTGTCCCTTCAGCAGGAGTGAAGAGAACTGTCAGTGTTTGTGTGACAATGTCTGACGTCGCCGCATGTTTATAATGCTCATGTCCCTCTCGTCGTAGTCACAGGCTCTGAGCTACGTCTTGTGTTGAAACTAATTTATGCTGTTTAGGAGATATTAATTTAACCCTCCTTTTATTGTTTTTAGTTTAATAGTTAATCAGTTATTTCTGTGACAAATATCAGATATTAAATGGTTAAGCAGACAAATTAAGTCTGTCTGGAAGAGTTTTATGAAATTCTTTATATCCTATATTAATATCCAGGTTTCTGTTGCGTTTTAAAACATACAATTTCGAAGTCACCGGATATCAGAGATTGGTAAACACCCTCCACTTTGATGACCTTTCAGCACGTTATGGGGGGTACATGTCGGAGCCTGAGGGTTACGACTCTGATGTTGGCTCCTCCCGCTACGCCACCCTCGACCGACGCCGCCAACACCACTTCGAGGTGGACCCCATGACCGCCAGCCTGCCCAGGTAGGTCGACACTTCCACCAGCCTGCACTAAGACATAATAATACAATAACTACTGGAAGACCTGTAAGATGACCCACTCTGACCTGCCTCCCAACCTACACCCTTGATAGGTGTTGTGACTCCCCTAACAACACTCACCAATGGGTTACCCTGAGTCCTCCAGCAGGTACTGTAGTGTCTTCTGGTAGCTGAGTGAAGTAGGTGACTCACTGCTGTATAAATGTCAACTTACCCAGAATGAAAGTTTACCACCACCATATATTTGGGTCATTTTCTGGTTACTGAGGTAGTCCTGCTTGAGAATATAACTGCATGGATTTTGCCTTCACTCTCGTAGTAAACTAAGGCTCCTGTTGACACTTGTCACAGAGTTACCTTCACTTGATCACAATTTAACTTCTTTTGCAGTGTTTGTTTGTTGTAAAGTAAATTGATATGTAAATTTCACCTCTTCATTGCACAGTAGGCTTTTAATACCACCAAAGCTTCTCTCACCCACGTCTGGACTTTAGTTTTAAAATGTTGTAAATTTATATTGGAATTAAAAAAAAAATAGTCACCTGAAGATTAGTCACCCCAGCTTATTTCACCTTACATGCTAACCTAACCTAACCTAACCTAACCTAACCTAACCCCCCCACCAGGTAGCATGGGGGTGTTTAATCATCAGGTGATATAAGCTGGGGAGCTAATTTTCAGATGATCTCCCCGAAAAAAAATTGAACTAAATTAACCGTATTTTCACACACATCTGTAAGGAATTAATACCTCTCTCCTGCTTACCTTAATGATAAACTATAAGAAATACAAATTGTGTTAATTAAGCAGACGTGAGCGGGAGTAGTGCAGTAGTTACAGGTCATTTGATAGCACGAGGTGACATTTTCTTGACACGGGGAAGATTCTAGGGGACTTTACCGGGTGTCATGTCACGTAATCTTGATCACATGACAGTAGAGAGTCAGTGAACATTTGTCTTTATCGAGATTTATTCATAATACATAATATACATTCATGATACACTCAGTATATACACTCGCCAGCAATACATACACTCAGTCCCAAGTTAGACACTCAACCTAAATAGTTAAAGAATTTGGTTGATGTCTTGATTTTTGATGGATGATTAATAAACGATTTTTATTAACATTGAGTTTTTATAAGTTTTGTGTTTGGTTGTTTTTTTATTATTAATTATTGATATATTTTGGTTATAGAATAAAATAAATACTTATATACACAATACGGTGTTGATGATTGTACACAGGTCTCAAAGGTCTAGTGTATTGGTGTGTACATATACTGAACTTGACTGTGTACACATACCTAAGTGTATACATGTACGCGAATATATACTTAACAGCTGTACATGAAATAAAGACAATTTGTTCGCTGACTTATTTGTTCAAGTGTGTATTAATCCATAGTACTGTACAAATTTGTGTCACTCTCTTTCACACATTCATGAATCCAACTTGAGTAACAGCACAGTCAAGCTAAGTCCGGAAGTTTCAACGAATCTTACGTTAAACTACAAAGGCTTATATCGAGTTACCATTTAGTCTGTGTAATATTGATACCATTAACGCCTCCATCTTAGTTTCGTAATATACTATGTGAATATAAAAGTCTTCTTAAAGATTCTAATAATGAGGGAAAGTAATTTACGATTTCGTTTATGAGAATCTGTTGAAGCTCCGTTGAATGAGGGGAAAACGTAAATGTCAATGGATGGGGGGAACTATTGTATCTGTTCGGTGTTTCTAATTAGCGTAAATGTCAGCTCTCCACCATTCTATAACATGACCTTTCTGATAGTGGCCAAGTTCTGATTCATTAATTTTTATTTAGTTCCCAGATAAAGGTCTGTGTAGGTGGTAACAAAGGCTGTGTGATGACCTTTAACAATGTGTGTGTGTGTGTGTGTGTGTGTGTGTGTGTGTGTGTGTGTGTGTGTGTGTGTGTGTAGTGGTTGCTGGGAGGAAACTACAAAACCTGGATAATGATAATAATAATAATAATAATAATAATAATAATAATAATAACAATCAGAAAATATCGACGGTAAATATTATTATTACAGAAGTATAATATTATTCACAAGACAAACATGACGGAACATCAAAGTAATTTACAAACAAAACATATTAATAATAATAGACATAATTACAAATAATAACACTTGAAAGTTTTTGACAGAGGACACGAAACAAGAGACCGGGAAAGTTCATTACTGATTTTATTTATCTTAGCAAATACCTAGACCTTGACATACACTAATGATTATTTAGAAATTTCAGCATAACAAACTTAGAAATTAATGAAGGATTGATGGGGTTAAAAAGTCAGCTGATTTAACTTAATTATGGGGGAAATTTTTATTTTTGTGACAGACAGGAATGACTAAATTTATTGCTCTCGGTTTAAAAATAGGAAAATGATTCTCTTTGTGTCGTAATTTTGATCTTTAAATTACAAAAGCGGTATTACAGGACGTGGGGTTCAGGAGTTTGTAACTAAAAACGACCAAAATCACGTAATAACTCGGATAATAACGTGTAATTTGGTGATGACAAGAACCCGGCCTCTGATTCAGGGAGCTGCTGGCCTAAACTAATACTGATGACAAACTAAACAGACCCAACCTAACCTAACCTAACCTAACCTAACCTAACCTAACCTAACCTAACCTAACCAAAGCTACCTAACCAAACGTACTTTAACCTAATGTAACTTAAAAAAATAACATGTACGATAATTAGGTAAGGTATGGTAAGTTTAATGAAGAAGAAGTACTAAGGGTAGCAAAAACTTCAAGAGAAATACTTGAAATGAACAGAAAAGGACAAATTAGATATTATAGTCATATAATTAAAGATGGGAGGATAATAACAGAGATATTAACGGGCGAAGATAAGGGTAGGAGGGCCAGGGGAAGGCAGAGACTGGGATGGATGAATGAAATTAAAAACTGTGCCCCCAGAGATATAAAAACCTTAGAGGATTGGAAAAAACAACCCTAGAACGTTCAGAGTGCTTGAGGTTAACAGCGATTTATTTCCATCTAAATTCTTGCCAAACGTCAATACTGTCCTCAGGATTCAACTTCTCTTGTTGTAAATATGACGAAATGATCTAAACACAATACCTTTACCGCGACAAATTATACTAACTTTAAAGGGAAAACCAAATGAACGTTGATCATTGTAGGTTATAAAACTGATTATATCGTTAACTTACGTTGTAATGTATTTTGGATCATTCAAAACTGTTGTGGTTTGTATGAGAGTAGATGTTTACATAACTAAGAGATAAATGTATAGTATCTGTTACAGTCCAGTTGGGATAACGTCAAGCCTCTCATTTTACAACAAAGACTTTTCATCGTAGTTCGTTGTTCACTCGACCACAAGTTGTGTTTTTCGGCGAGGACAAATAAAATATCATCGTGGCATCTCTTGATCACCAACAAAGGATGTTCCACATGGCCAGCAGTGCCTGACCAATCATAACTCACCATCATCAGTATGGGGGACAAGTGGCAAGCAGCGTCACCTGTTGGAGGGAGAGTGAGTTACCCTGTTGAACATAGCGGTACACGTCTCTATACAAAATACTGGAACCATATTTGTTTTATTTATTCAACCTAAAATATTCATGGATCACCTGAAGATTAGGCACCCCAGCTTATTTCACTTAATTAAATACCCTAACGTTAACTTAACTTGACCTGACCTGACCTGACTCAACCTAACACAACCAAGTAAGCGTTAGGGTGAAATAAGCTGGGGTGACTAATCTTCAGGTGATCCATATACAGCATAAACTTAGTCATACAATCGATGCAGTTTAGTCGACTCAGCGATACTTGTTAGGCTTTACCTGGACTCGTGTACCTGTTGAACCGAGAGATGTGAACCAGACAGACAGACAGACAAACAGACGTTCCAGTGTTTACGTTTCCCCCCCCACATTGGCTACATATAAACAGACTCATGAGCATTTCTTCAAAGCTCCATCTATTTAATCACTGGGATGCATGACAAACTTTTCTTAACTGATGATTTAAGTCGCTTTTGGGGACATTCTGGAAGCCTTTACGCCTCAGATGCTTAATCAAGTGGAGCTAATATGCATACTGGAGTAATCAAGGGAGCTAATTTGCATACTGGAGTAAACAAGGTGAGCTAATTTGCATACTGGCATAATCAAGGGAGCTAATTTGTATACTGGAGTACTCAAAGGGAGCTAATTTGCATACAGGAGTAATCAAGGTGAGCTAATTTGCATAAAGGAGTAATCACAGGTGCTAATTTGCATACTGGAGTAATCAAGGAGAGCTAATTTGCATACATGAGCTATATTATTCACCATATCTCTTGACTCTGGCTTGGCTGTCATCGCTGTCACTCTGCTGGGAATCTGTATGTGTGAGAGAACCTTGCTGTTTGTGTCGAGGTTGTAAGCATGCTGGTTGTGGTCATTAATTCTACAACTCACCCTTTGTCAACAGAGACTACAACGTCGACCTGGACCCCTTCAGTAGGTAGGTACTTACCCGTTCATATACCTGTGTTCCTACTGATGCTGAAAGACTGGCTAAATATTCTCTATGTGATTGTGTTTTACGGGTTATGTTTATTTTCCTCAGCTGAGTTAATGTTTACTTTCTTCAGCTGAGTTAATGTTTATTTGCCTCAGGTGAGTTAATGTTTACTTTCTTCAGCTGAGTTAATGTTTATTTGCCTCAGGTGAGTTAATGTTTACTTTCTTCAGCTGAGTTAATGTTTATTTGCCTCAGGTGAGTTAATGTTTACTTTCTTCAGCTGAGTTAATGTTTATTTGCCTCAGGTGAGTTAATGTTTACTTTCCTCAGCTGAGTTAATGTTTATTTGCCTCAGGTGAGTTAATGTTTACTTTCCTCAGGTGAGTTAATGTTTATTTCCTCAGCTGATATGTTATGGGGTGAAAATTATGATTACGGCGTCCAAATTATCTTGATAAAAATGGCTGTCGTTTTTCGTTCGTCTTTTGTTTTATAGAATTGGATTATCGAGGTTTACATTACATTACAGTTATATATTTTTAATTTTTATATTATTTAATGAAGGATGTGGAATAGGTTAGGGTAGTGATGATGTATTTTTCACTGTAATGATAATATTCGTAATTTTTCATAATTTCAATATAGTCGATGTTTTTGTCAAGCTCAGGAAATCCCTCCAAAAATCGGGGAGTGATTTTTAACCCTCACGTCACTTTCCAGTCTGAATCAATAAACACACGATGCGTATAATGGCTACCCTGACAGTACCGGGCTGTGATCATTATCTTTTGCATCTGAGCGTAATTTTGCGTATCCCGTCACCACCCAGGATACGCAACTAGTTATTACATGATTATGACCGGGGATTCACGGCACCTCCCCTCGGCCAGCGTATAGGGGTGGAATCACTTGACAACTGACAACAGGTGTACAGGTGTATTCTCAAGTTCCCAACCCGGATTTAATGGTCTTCTGGGGGGATTGTGTTGTAGTGTTTGGGGGGGGGGGAATTTTTAAGTGATTTAGAGATATTTCAAACTATACTGTAGATACAAGTACAAAATAAAGAGATAAATACTGTAATAATTATCTTCCGCTCTGTGAAGTTACGGAGGGTATAGAAATTGTCTCTCAGTCTGTTAGTCTATTTGTTCGATTTTTTTGCTTCCAGGATATATTGTGTGTCAGATTTCTTTAATATTTTGTCTGGTAATTTTTCGTACTGAAGAAGGTCATTTGATCGAAAATTTCAATGTTTTTTTTTTCATTTTGGTGACGTAGGCGACAGAGTGTTGTTGTTGTGTGACTCGCTCTCAAGGAAACAAAGATCACATGAAGATTAGACCCCCCCAAGTGTATTTCACATGATGGTTAAGCACCCTAACACTACCATGTGGGCTTAGGTTAAGTTAGCATCAAGATTAAGTTTGGTTAGGGTAGATTTTGTTAGGTAAGCCTCAGGTTCATTTAGATTAGGTTTGGCTAGGTTAGGTTTGTTTAGATTAAGTTAGTGTCAGGTTAGGTTAGGGTAGGTAGAGTAGGGTAGGTTAGGGTAGGGTAGTGTTAGGTTACGTTAGGTTAGGTTAGGGTTGGGTAGGGTAGGGTAGGTAGAGTAGGTTAGGGTAGTGTTAGGTTAGGTTAGGTTAGGGTTGGGTAGGGTAGGGTAGTGTTAGGTTACGTTAGGTTAGGTTAGGTTAGGGTTGGGTAGGTAGAGTAGGGTAAGTTAGGGTAGGGTAGTGTTAGGTTACGTTAGGTTAGGTTGGGTAGGTAGAGTAGGGTAGGTTAGGGTAGGGTAGTGTTAGGTTACGTTACGTTAGGTTAGGTTGATTTTCAGGTGATCAGGAAACAAAATGAGAAGTTTTATAGAGGAAGAGGAGAAGAAAGAGTAAAGTGTTGTGTTCGCCACTTACCTCCACGTTCCTCCCCTCCTTCACTATTGTTCAGGTAAAATCTATTGTCTTCAAACTCCATTGTTCATTTCACTCTTCCGGTTCATAAATACCCTAGTGTTAAGATCCTGCCTTGAACATCTTTAATTACCACAACAAAAATACTTAAACCCGGAATAAATTTGAGGTAACGTAAATATAAACACCCTTTCATTTGTTTTTCATATGTTTCTGTGGGTAGATAAGTTCATGGAAGGTTTTTTTTTTATACGAAAGAGAAGATTATTGCTTAGGTTATCGTTCAGGCTTGATGTATACAGACTTGAGGAGGTTCGTAGAGTTTCCAAATTTTTTTATACGAAAGGGAATGAATTGAACGGGGGAAAAATCGTTCTGGGGATTGGGTTGGGCGGACCTGCTTGCGTGTCCATTGTAGCAAAACAGCGGTAGTGTTGTCCACCTTCCGCCGCTACCTTGTGTATTGGTCGTCACGTATACCTGTGTTGTGTTGCCAGCTGCTACCTTAAAAACAGGTTATATAACTCATAACTGAACACTGATCTAAAACCATGCTATGTCATGGTTATATACAGAATATATATGTATATTTTGTATATTGAATCATACTCAACTTGCACTATGTAATACAGTGGTTATATAAATCATACATGACATAATATAGCCGAAGTTTATACGGTATTGGAGCGTTCCATTGATGTAAACAATGACGTCATCAGTAGGGGAACAGTGGAAAAGAACCACGACAAAAACAATTATTATTATTATTATTATTATTATTATTATTATTATTATTATTATGCGTTAGTTAATTTTTCCACTTAATTTTGGAGAGATAAAATCATATCTAACTAAAATAAGTTAGAACGTAAAAGAAAAACAATCTAAAAGAAAATTAGGATTACCGATACAATTATTATTATTATTATTAATTTTTATTATAATATAAATTTGTATTTCGTTAGGTTGGCTGGTCTACTCTCTCTCTCTCTCTCTCTCTCTCTCTCTCTCTCACAAGCAGCGGCCTCGTGTGTAATCCGACCTCAACACTAAGTGGGGCTTCATCTTACACAGGTTCTCTCTCTCAGGTTTCACTTTAATGCTTCACGCGGCTGTTGGACAAAACTCTACTGGACAAAATTCTACTGGACAAATATCTTCTGGAAAAAGTCCACTAGAAATGACCCAAGACAGTTTAATTCAGTCATTTTTTTACTTAATTGTGGTGGAGGAATTTTTGTCTTGAGGGAAATTTCTATTATTGGGATTATGTCCGGAGGGATTTTGTCCAGATTTTTTTTCAGTTGAGTTTTGTCCACAGGAATTTTTGTCTTCTGGGATTTATTTATTTATTTATTTATTTATTTATTTATTTATTTATTTATTCTATTTATTGTTACTGTACAGCGCTCTTGCCACGTATTAAATCTCGACACCAGGAGGAAGAGGAGGAAGGGGGAGGAGGAAGAGGAGGAGAGGGGGGAAGGAGGAGGGGGATTATGTGTGTCGCGGTGAGGAAAGACTTGTGTTAGGTTTCTTTACTCACACAGTTATGCTCCGTCATGGGCCTCTCAGTACTGTATTATTGCTTACTGAGTGGCCGGTCGTTGTAAACAAACAAACCTATGTCTTAATCTTTTTTGTTATCTCTCTCTCTCTCTCTCTCTCTCTCTCTCTCTCTCTCTCTCTCTCTCTCTCTCTCTCTCTCTCTCTCTCTCTCTCTCTCTCTCTCTCTCTCTGATGGATGGGTTGATGAGTTGATGGATTGATGTGTGTTACGTGTTTATAGGTACTGAGTCTTTGGGAGATGTTATGATTTTGAAAGTGGATCAATAAAATCGAAACTGATCGAACATAAGAGAAACGGTCAAGTTTACCTTGTGAAGCCCTAGGCACACCTTCCTCCCCTCTCAGGATTTTCAATCTGTATTGGCCGCATTGTTGTGACAGGCTGCCACAGCTACCTGCTTCTCTTGCTGCCAGTGCTCACAGTGTCAACCCGGTGAAGTGCCTCCCTCCCTCGCTCTCTCTCTATATATCAACCTAAGTGCTTTCCCAAACCGTATTGCATCACCGTGTAACTTCATCGTGTTACCTGCACAGTGCGCTTTTACCGAGTAGTTTAACCGTATACCTGCACGAGAAACTCTCCCGTATTGCTGCGTTTAGTGAGGCTCTCTCCCTTAATTACGAGAGAGAGAGAGAGAGAGAGAGAGAGAGAGAGACTCCTCACAACACTGATAAACAAGACAGGTGGCGGTGATAATTACCCCAATGGCAGAATACCTCTTCCCTGACGAACAATCCTCTCGCAAGACACAGCAGCCGTACACCTTGTTGTTATAGTGAGATTATGAAGATAATATCATAGAAGAATATAAAGAATAATGTCAGGGTGACTTAGCAGTACCTCAGAGGCTTGTTACAGGGCGGCAATGTTATTATGTCCCGGAGTAATGGACAGTGCCAATATGCCTTGGAGTAATGGACAGTGCCAATATGCCTTGGAGTAATGGACAGTGCCAATATGCCTTGGAGTAATGGACAGTGCCAATATGCCTTGGAGTAATGGACAGTGCCAATATGCCTTGGAGTAATGAACAGTTCCAATATGCCCCGAAGTAGTGGATAGTGCTAAAATACACTACAGTAATGGACAGTGTCAATATACCTTAGAGTAATGGACAGTGCCATACTCGGGGGTAGGAGACAGTGCCAACAAGCTCCTTGACATGTAAACACTAGCATCAGAGGTTCGTATGATTGGTCCATATATCCAGGATGGCTGTACAGTCGACGATGGATATTGAGGACATCTTAGCGTTCTTCGACAGCCTCGACTTGGCTGGGTAAGTAAACATTTTCCACAGAGATAAAATTGACGTGAAGATAAGTGTAGTGTTGTAGCTGCTCTGCTACCGCACACTTTTGGGGTTAATGAAATATATTAATCTATTTCAATCGATTTTTTTTTTCATTTTTTATGTCCGAAATTTATAGAAAAAATCATCTGAAAAGTTTTTTTTCATGATTACAAAATGTATAACTGAATTTGTATGTATTACGACTATGATGAATTTATACATATTCAGC